TATGCACCCCCGACAATGGCTGCAATCCCCTGTGTCAGGCCCTTTGCTTAATGGGACAGGCTCCAGGTTCACCGCACTCCTATGCTGGATAAGCAGTTATGGATGGATGGATGGATGGATGGATCGGTGAGTGGGAGAGGATATAGCAGAGTCATCTACACAGGAATGAGAAGTTGGATTAAAACCTGCGACATGAACTGATAACCTATAAAAAATGATTAAATGACATGAAACGTATTTCTGCTGACAGAGCTGTTCACCGTATTTCTGTACAGGTCTTAGAGTCCGACGGCTGACTTTTTATACAGACGTATTAAAAGCAGTAAAACGTCCATTTCCCAATTGTATTTTTATATTACGAAACGTTTTTTTCTAATCATTTACACTCTCTGTTTAGTGATGGACTTATCGGTGTGCCGAATGAGTAGTTTGGTCCATAGTCAATTCCAAACATTTATTCAGCTGGCCTTATTTGTTCAGCCCCGAAACATTTCAGCTGAGGATTTTTTTCCTGTTCTTTTTTTTTTTTTCTTGACAGAATTATCATCGTGCCCTTGATCCCTGTCTAGGCTTGGGATCTCTCTGTCTAACTAACACATTCTAAGTCACACACAAATTATTATTTTATTAGATTAACATCTCTAGATATCTAGATATTTATTAAATCTAACTAGTTTCGTTCCGAAAATGTCATGTTGCAGGTTATAGTTCTGATGTGGATTTAACAGGACTCTGGCAGCATAAAACCATATTGTGATGATTTATCTGTAGAATATTAATTAGAGTTCAACGATCCCAAATGCATTCATAAAACATTTTAAATGTTTGAAAGACCTAAATTCTGCATTCAAATAAGAATACAGGAAACAAAAATGAACGGCAGTCACAAAATGAACAGAAGGTCTTACATTCCATATAGAAGATTGGAGGAATGATAATCCAAGGCAAGCCGTCAGAGACATGCAGATACACACACTGATTTCTCAGCACAGCCTCAGAGGTGACATCGATTGACCTCGATCACAGAGGTTGTCACCATAGTGTAATCTTTTCTATTATGAAGGTCATATATATATATATATATATATATATATATATATATATATATACACACACACATTTTCCAGGCCAGGATAACTAAAGTGGTTGATTATTTATCAATAACTTCTAATTTTTCATATCACTCTGCATGTCCCTGAGTATTAATGGCACTTCATAGTGGTTTAAAGCTTCTCGTTAGTATCATGCTCTGTCCAACCATCATTCGCCTGCTTATACTGAGCTGGGTGTTGAGAGTCTGGAGCCTGTGCCATGGCGCGCAGGACACAGGGCAGGGGACACGCTGGACAGGATGCCGCTCCATCGCAGGGGACGTACACATACGCTGCAGGAAGCACCGAGATGCCAGATTCACCGAGCTGCGGGTCTCGGGACTGCGGAAGGAAGCTGGAGTGGAGATCTGGCAGGACATGGGGAGCCTGCAGGCTACACATCCAGAGGCCAGTGAGAGGTAACAGCACTGCACCGTCACACCACCCTGTAGCAGTGCTGCTGTAATATAAAGTTACTCAAGGTATTGTGTTACAATTTTCAAATGTGATGCAAACTATATTTAATTTCTCCATACAAAATGCAAACCGTGCATGTATAGTTCTTGACATATAATGAACTGAACAACATGCACTGCGTTGTGCGTGTACTGCAAATTGTTAAAAGCAAATTGCTAACTGTGTGCTTATTCTGCCTGTGATTAATGACTTCGATTGGCCTCTTCCTCACCGCTGCCCCAGGCAAAGGTGTACGATTACCGATTGATACAAACCCCGTTGTCTCCTTAATGGTAACTTTTACTGTTCTCTGTGTTGAAAAGGCTTATTTCATAGTGATTAATGGAAAGAGGAATTGTAAGATCACCTCTCTGAATGCAAAATAATGCATTATTAATGTGCGATGCACAAGAATGTGAGTGCTGCCCAGTAGTGGTTTGTGTTAATCATTGCCTTGCACATGACACCTCATTTATAAGCTGGAAGAAAAATGACCCTGCTGATCTGGGCTTTGTAGGGGAAGCCAACCGAGTACGAGACCCAGGAGAAAACTCAGTGACAACAATGGCAGACATTATCAACAGAGCAACGAGCCAGCAGCCATGCTAATTAAATTAAAGGGAGGTTAGGGGAACAGGGTCAGTCTCAGTGCCTGTGGATCACAGAGGAACCACAAATTCAAACATCTGAAATGTAATACGAAGTCTCTTTTTTAAAAGGTATAATTAACAGAATGAGTTATGGCTGGAGATCAGTTGTTTAAATCTTCGTATTTTGTTGACAGTGTTTAGATTTATATGCTACAACTGTTACGGACCGCAGGGTGTGACTAAAAATGACTAAAAATGCAGAGCCCTAATGACCCCGTTAAACTGCTGGCCAGGCTGCAAATGAACTGCAGAGCCATTTACACCGGAGATTTTATAATTCTCACGCAGGGCTGAAGGTGTCATGTAGTAGGATTACTTTGTTAAGGATGGGCTGGAGTCTCATTCATAAGCGCCGTGGTGTTTAGTAAGTGCTGCTTGTCACTGTTAAGGAGTTTCTGTAGGGAATGGCATTCCGGGCAGTCCTGGAATTGGCTTAGGGAGGTTAGGTGGAACACCAGATCTCATTGTTTTGTGTCTCCATGATAATCAGTGATCATCTTGTTACATCACTGTTGTGTCACAGTGGAACAAAAACAGGAAACAAATTGTGAATCAACAACATAATGAATATGCTCCATGTATTAGCTATCTTGATGAAATCCAGTATTTTTTGCTCGGTGTTAACACTAGATGCATAAATTCTCCGCTTCCACCTTGAATAGAGCATTAGTCTGTACTACTGGGATTTTGGGGACGTCCACCTCTAACAAACTGGAGCTTTTTTTATGTAAGGGCGTCATGATGACCTTCCTGTGCTCATAATCCCTGAATCCATTTGGCTCTCACCAAATATGAATGGAACACTTTTGAAAATGTTTATTTAGCAGTTAATTTTATCTAATATCATGTACATTTTTAGAGACAGCTCAGTCAGACAGTCCCTGGGATTTGAACTGACAACCTTCCAAACAAAGGCACAGTATTCGAACCCACTGAGTCACATACCGCCAAGTGCCCCAAATGCTAACACCCTCAGCTGCTCATGGCCCTGCTGAGACAGCGGGTGGGAAGCTGACATTTGCTGGGTCCGTACTCACAGAACCATCGGGGAGCTGCACTGGCCCCAGGATTTAAGCACAAAACCATCGCCGCTTTAGAAATAATTCTGCAGAAATGTACAAGAAGCCAAATGCACACACAGGCTTTCAGAGTGAAAGACTGGTGAGAAGTTGCTTCTTGTCGGAAAAGGATTTCCACTCGGTCTACGGGGGGAAATCGCGGCTCAGGGGACCACCCCCCTCCCCCCCCACAAAGGTGGCTGTTAGCAGCTACTTGTTACTGAAAGGAGCCGGAGATGCATGCCCTCATCTGTTAATCATCTCCGGCTTGTTTCCAAGCTACAAACAGGCAGCCCCATGCAGCTGAAGCAGTGAGACCTCAGCTCGCCTGCCCTGGGGCCCCACAATGCCCTTCACATTAACAGGCACCATTCCAGTTGACCTTAGACTCTCAGCTTTGTATTATGTCCAAATAAAGAAAAAGCACCAGTGTCCAGTGGGTCAGAGCCTTATTGAGGGCAGCCGAAACACGCTGTGGGGAATCAACAGGGAAGGGTTAGCTAACGCTGTCCTACAGAGAGGAGAAATCCCGGCTCAGTGGCGCTGTTTACCCCCATTCAAACTGAGCATGGGTGTGGGGCCCTGACGTCTGAGGGCCCCCTGTTGGCCACGGACAGTCATTATATTAAATAGTTAATAAATGTGCTCCTTATTTATAGGAGATGCTGAAGCAGCATGTTCTGCTAAGCGGCTAGCTAACTATGATCTTCCGATTTTACTGTCTGGCTGCACAACAAAATATTGGTTTTGTGTAAGAAAAACTTGCAATTTTTTCATTTAGTCAGATTCTAACTAAAGTAGTATTATCTAATGGATGAAGGAATTTTAAATTCCAGGTTATATGTTCATATCAAGAACTTACATACAGATTAGATGTGTTAGAATTCATTTTCCCCTAATAATTTATTTAATTTATTCGTAATATTGTTCAGGTCACTCTTTAACATATATAGGCCTACAGTACATATAGGACAGCAGGTAGTAGAACTATTTCAGTACTCCAAAAGCCTTCCATCCATAACAATTGGCTATATATTAAACAATCCAATTAACAGAAGCAATTTTCTTTCAGTAACGATTGAACTGTCCTGCAGATATCACCAAGATTAATAATCCAGCCTTAATCTTACAGTGGAGACTGTTTATTCACTTATACCCATTTGCATCAGTAAATGAAATTTTTGTCATCGCGGTGAATGCTGGCGGATAGCGCTAATATGACACGCTGGCTGAGCTTCTCCATGATCGCAGATACAGCTCCAAGCTTATTGACGGTTAATCGTGGCGGGATGCTATAGTTCACTTTAAAGCCTTTACGCTCCGGGTAGCTGTAGCGCATGCTAATCTGCGTGTGGGCAAAACGTGTTATTTTCTGTAAATTTAGGATTAACTTCGTTTAATTAATTAGTTTGATTAATGATGCGAGACTCAATAATTGGAACGTTGAGTTTCATTCTTTAATTCTCGACAAATGCTGTGTTTTGCATCTTCAGCAAAGTTATTTAATTGGTAGCGGTAGTGTGCTTGAATTTTTAATCACCTATACCTACCTGTTGACTGGATTGTTTCCCATATCCATAGATTATCCCACAAAGCTCGAAATATTATCCATACTAGTTCAGTCCTGCTGTACCACCAAAACATCTTATTATCGACATCTTAAGGATTCTTGTACTGCTGAGCAAAAAAGATCAGCACTCATCAGGAATATATTAAGGAATGAAAAATAATATTATGTAGTCTATAGATATGGTCAGTGTTCCTGCGCTTGATAATGAAATCTTGAAGCATTTATCAGATCCGTGTCGTCTCATTAAAGTCTTATAACGTATCGGAGAGCCTTGTTATAGTGGATCTTTATATTTAGAGGTTTTTGTTTTTCAGCACAACGCTATTTTACCAAGTCGTTGCTGCAAATGCCGTGTATTCTCTTCAGCGCCATTTATTTCAAGAAAATGGCTGAAATACGAGCTTTAAGAGGATGTACCGCGTTCATTCTGTAGATATCGAATAACCGACGCGAAAAATAACGCGCATCTTAGTGCGATCATTTCGTAATATTCAGTTTGCGTATTAGGGTATGATAATTATGCCTGGCTTCTGTCGCGATCTGCATAATAAGCCGAAGCCCCTGATTCACAGGAACCCCGGCGCTGTCAGCATACCCGGCCGGGCTGCCTTCATCTGAAGGAGGCTGAGGAGACGCTCCGAGGCTGATTGATGTCAGTTTGGACCATCTATACTGCCTCGTCCATTTGAATGGCAAACGGTGAAGCCAATTGGTATAAGGATACATCATGCATTTCCGCGCTGTATTTATTTTGTACACCAAGGGAGAATAACTGGCGACACGAGGAGAGGGCACCCAAGCGTAAAACTCGCAAAAATTAGGGGTCTGAATCTGGACCCATCTGACGGGGGATACCGGGACGCATTGACACATTTCAGTCAAGCTCATCGGTCGAAACATTTGTAGCCTCTTTCTGGACGTGTGGATTGGATTTATTATGGGTACTTTGAAGCCTGACAGATGCAAAGTCCGGCGTTTGCCATGGCGTCTAATCGCATGAGGCTATATTGTGGTTTTTAGGGGGGAATCGCCGCTTTTCAGCACCGCGGACAGCTCTGTGCGGGATCCCTGCTGCGGGGAAGCGCTCCGTACGCGGCCGGCATCCGAGCGCATCATGCATGCCTCCACAGCCGGGGGCGCCGTCCTGTAGTCCTTTGGCTGGTCGGGGGCTCTCGGTAACATTTTGCCGAATTATGAGGCTTGTCTTTCAGCTTCTCCGTTATGCCCTCTATCCTAAGCAGCAGCGGGGGTGCCTCTCCAATGCCAAACTGTCGAGGATAGCAGCCTACACACTGCAAGCAGGAAGACATTATCATCACCATCATCATCATCATCATCACCATCATCAGCACCGGGCAAGGGAGGCACGATTTAACTCAACAATGTAAACTAAGGAAGGTAGGTGCGCCGCTGGAAATAAATTATTCATAGTTAATAGTTGGGGCTCCTCCGGGCTTTCCCCTACCTTCACTTACTTCATGTTTTATTCATTTTCATATCATTGCGTGGTAATTTTGTACGGATACAGCCGTGTATATTGCAAAGTAGCGATTTTGGTTTGGATGGGAGCCGGCGCGAGTGGCGTTTGTGCGGCGAATCGCGGAGAATCACCGGGGACTGAGTTACACGCTGAATTTATCATGGGAGCTGCTACAGAAATCCGTCCGCGGCCCTGTGAAGCCATGCAGACACACAGAGATGCCTCAGAAACGAGTACGGATCCATAACTAAAAACCCGTCTGGGGATTTTATTTCTATTACTGCTTTGCGCTTTGGCTGCGGGAAAAAGTCCGAAATTAGACGGTTCCTGGGCTGTGTGTTGTGATTGTGAAAATGAGTCAGAAAGCAGCAGTAAAAGCGATTTCTCTGTTATTTGACATCGTGGTAAAAAAAATATGGATAACGCTTATGCAACGGTCTCCATGTGGGTTTTGAGAGACAGGCATGGTGCAGTAACCATGCTGTCAGTCCTGTGAATAAAATTAGGCTTAATACATCCTTTCCCTGTTCCTGTTTTTTTTTTTTTTTAAAGCAGTACGAACTCAAGCAAAGTTAATGTATCTGCCTTTTGCTACCACTAGTAACGTCCGAAAGGCCTATTTTATTTTATAATATAAACTTTTGTATTTTAAAATATATATATTTTAATTTTAGTAATTCCGTTCTCCATTGATTGTCATCATGTCTTGGAATAAGAGAAATATGAATCTGATATAGAACAGTGCGTCCTTAATGTGCAATTGTGTGCATGAATCAGTGCATGTATGAGTGCATGAGTGCATATATGAATGAGTGCATGCATGTATGAGTGCATGTATGAGTGCATGTATGAATGAGTGCATATATGAATGAGTGCATGCATGTATGAGTGCATGTATGAGTGCATGCATGTATGAGTGCCTGTATAAATGAGTGCATGTATGAGTGCATGTATGAATGAGTGCATGTATAAATGAGTGCATGTATGAGTGCATGTATGAATGCTCGGAAACCGTTCTCTCTTGGTGTGTCATGCTTCTTGTTGGGACTCTGTAAACACCATAATACTAGATTAACAGTTATTGAAGATGGATGGTTGTTTGTATGGATGGGCGTGATATATATTTGTCATAATAATTTCGATGTTCAGCTGATTGACGTGTGAAAAATTGTTACTCATACAGTTTCTAAGACATATTTATTTGCATATCATATTTGCATTTTCATATCAATAATATCTTTCATGTTTTTGAAATATAACATATGTATAAAATGTTTACCCTTTGTGTTTATTGTATTTATGTGTTTCATGTAATTAGCCTGATTAATTGCTACAACCCCCTGTGATGGATTGGCACCATATCCTGGCTTGTTCCCTGGCTTGTGCCTGTAGCCTTCGGGATAGACTCTGCACCCCCCTTAACCCTGAAAAGGACAAGTGGTTACAGAAAATGGGTGGATGGATGGATGGATGGATGTTCTACAACCATGTCACATGACAGTTTCGTAACACGTTGTCACTTCATTGATGAATGAACTACATACCATCCAGTTCACACTCTCAAATCAAATGATATCTAAGCAGAATTGCTGGCTGTTTATTAATGTGTCATTGTTACACATGGATATTTATGGTTACATGCAGAGCTCAGGCTGTGTGACATGCTCGAGAGCGTACGAAATATACAGAGGTGTCTTTTTAGAGAGTCTTATCTTTTCGCACATGCCAGTGGGATATCCCTTGGCTCTGCTGGCACTGGGGACCGCTGGCGTGGGCAGTGTGGGCACTAAAAAGAATGGCACTGTCTTCAAAGAACAGCATTCAGGTGGAAGCACATGTCTGGAAGCTTTGATATCCACCGAAACACTAATGAGTTACACATGGGAGTTAGGCATCCTATGTATGAGACACAATAATGTAAACACATATCAACATGCTAATTAATGCTGTCAGTATGGATCCTGAACCATGCAGTGGGATACTGAACCATATGTTCAAGAGGAAAAGCTTCCAGTTCTGTGAGGGATGAAGGAGATTCAAGTATTCGCAGTTTGGAGTCCAGTGTGTCCCACAGCGGTTCAATGATGTTTAGATCTGGCTATCAGAGAGGCAATGGATGACATTTGGCTTAATTCTGGTGTTCATGAAACTATTCCTGAATGTGTTTAACTTGTGTATGGGGACATTATGATCTTTGAATATGGGAACATCATGAGGGAACAGTGTTTGCACTGTGGGGTGCAGCCAGTCCTGTAAAATGGCCTCATATTTCATGGTGGTTATACAACCACACAGAGCGATCATCAGACCTAATGACTGCCGAGAGACGGCAGCCCGTACGCACAGACGCCAAGGACTGAAGGCGTCCTTTGGCTTTCTCAAAACATAAACCTGTTCAGGTCGGGGAAAAGGGTGAAAAATGATTCATCATACCATATTATCCTTTTATTTGTTTTATTCATTGCTTGGGGTCCTAGTTTTGTGCTTGTTACCCTGCGTTTTGCATCGGCCTTGGAAACGAGCGGCACGCATTCCAGCTTTGTGAGGCTGATGACACGCGGTTTTGGTCACCAAGGTGCTGATTCAGATCTGTAGTGATTTTTGAGGTTTTATTTTTGTGGTGCTTAGCGACTGTCCTGTTAAGTGTCTGTCCTTTCCTAATGCTGAGCTTCAACTTACACAATGAAAGCTCCTCTTTCCTGATAAATTTCTTCACTGGCATGATTTTTGAGACTATTCCACGTGAGACATTACATATTTGACGCTTTTTGTGACTGGTGCTCCTGCAATTTGGGCTGCAAGTTGCCTCCTGATCCTCTAAAAACTCTGATATCAAAGTGCTGATTGTCAGAGCCCTTAATAGCTGACACACGTGCTGCTGATTGTGGCTCCACCTGATGTCACTCAACCTCAGGAGCTGCGTTTGCATGTGGCATTTCCATTACACTGTTCACCCCCATACACTGTCAGAATGGAACATCCCAAGATTGTATTGCACAGCAAGGTTTGCACAAAACATCCAGTGATGCTAGGAGTAACTGAACGGTGGATTAACTGAGCAGTGGAGTAACTGAACAGTGGTGCAGTTTCATACCATAAGGACTTGGTGTGGATGCACTTGTCCTTTTTGTGCAGCATTCCGACTGCACCAAAATCTCCCTCAGAGTGAGACTTAAATTTAAATTTTAAGGAGTTTAAAGGTATTCTGTGTTGCAGGATAGTTTGAAACACTTGCCCATTAACGGTAACATTATATTCTTGCTGGCCAGAATGCATGAAGTGCTCAGGAGTCTAACCTAAGCACACGGTCATCGTGGCCATGTTTAGATATGTACTTCGATATTTTGCAAATATTGTGCAAATTCATCCAGATCCAATGCAAACTTTGGTGCAAATATATATTTCATAAAATGTTGCACAGTAACATCATGCGTTCGTCCTGTCATGACTGGCTTCAGTAGCGCAATCTAATGTATTATACGCTGAGCCTGAGTGGTACGGGATCATGTTTTTGCGTGTGTAATGTGCTCTCCTGTTCCTTTCGCAGGTCTGCTGTGTGTGAAGTATCTTTCTCCTGTGATGACCCTGGCAGTGAGGATTGGGTGAAAGAGTGTGGAAAGTCAACCCTCGACATGATCAACGCTGAGTGAGTAAATCGCGGGGTGCTGCTCCCCTGAAGATGGCTGAGCCCTTTGCCCTGCCTGGGTCCTGGGCCGGCTCATCCAGAACATGGCTGCCTGCACCTCTCTCAACTTCACCTTTTTTTTAATCAATCTTCATCTTAACAGACCAAGTTACATTTACATCTATTTACTTGGCAGATGCTTTTATCCAAAGTGATACAATTGAGAAAGCAGGGTCAGACGATCACTGGAGCAACTGAGGCTCTACAATGAAATCACTATGCTGAGCCTTGGGTTTGAAGCGGCGACCTTGCTATCCCAGGCCCAGCATCGCAGCCTGCTGATCTGAGGCAGAGGCTGGCCCAGTGCCCATTGTGCAGTCTTCCTCCTGAAGACCTTCAGCTCCACCTACCCTCTGTGCGGTGCTTGTCGCTTACGTGCTGGTTTAGCTCGACGGATATTGCCTTATATTTACACCACTGTAATCTCACATTTTTGTTTTATGGATTCCATATAGCTGCCCAATATGTATATGGCTATATGGCTTCTGTAAGTTTTTTTTTTTTTGCATGATTTCATTCTTCCTGCAGTAAATGGGCCATAAAATGCGCAGAGCAGAGATATGCATGAAATACGGCATGAACAGCAGCAGCTGCTTAGTTTCCCTTAGCCTCACTTAGCCTCCCTCTCAGCGAGGGGCTGAATGTGCGCACAGTTCGGCGCGACACACAAATCATGTGCCTCGGTCGTCAGATGGCATTTCCTCGGACGTGGGCCCCCCGCTTTCACTGCTAAGCTCTTTTTCTAAAACAATCCTGTCGCATTTTAGGCTGCTTGACTTCTCTGCTTCCCTTTCTCACCTTTTAACGCCCCCTGCGGTCCTCCTGCACACCTCAGAAGTGTGAGTAACATTGGGCCATGTGACTATGTGAATGCATCAGCGGAGACGTGCAAATATCCCCGGTGTGGCAAGCCCCGGGCGTGACGAGGCGGTGACCCCATGCCGTGAGCTCTCGCGGTGCCCTGGCACGGCTTTGCGGTGCCGCTTAAACACGCTGACACGCCTCACTGTCGTAGATGGTTCGATCACAGCTGCGCTTTCTGCTGCACCTTCATACTTCTCAGCGGGCAGGGGCAGGGCCGCCCCTGTGCTGCTTCACGCACGCTGAGCGCATGTCAAAGGTGTGTCTTTATCTTTAAGAGGGATGCGATGGGCTGGCATCCTGTGCAGGACGTCCCCTGGCTCATAACACTGCCCTTTCTGGGACAAGCTGCAGGCGCTCTGTGACCTTACTCTGGGTGGGTGCTTAGTGGGGGTGGATGGATCTTATGCTGTTAAAAAGTGGGGCAAATTTTCTGAGAGTCTGCAGGAGGTCACATGGATATTTAGGGGGAGGTGTGTTGGTCAGCAGGTTTGACCTCAGTTCCTGTGATCAGAAGGTTGCTGGTTTGAATCCTATGCCCGGCAGTGTACCCATATCTCTGTCGGGCCCTTGAACAAGGCCTTTAATCCCCTGAAATGCTCCTGGGGTACTGGATGGATGGCTGACCCTGCAATCCGACCCCAGTCTCTCACCTCTATGCGTGTGTCCCAAAGGGGAGCCTTATCGGATATGTGAAGACTAACACCTACCAATTTACCTGTATTTACATATGCACACATATAGAGCTAAAGGAGAAGCTGAGCACAGGAATCGAACCAACAACCTCCTGTTCACACTCACAGAGAAGTCGCCCATGTCTGATGTTTACGCTCACCATCATCCTTATATGCCATCCCCTGTTCTGCTGGTTCAAACCTTAAAGCATGAGGTTCCACAATAAATGCTGCCGGTTTGCGGTGTTTTCCAGTATAAACGTCTAATCAGCATTCAGATCAGGAATCTGAGGTTTCCTGCTGGAGTCTGGAAGCTCCTGGCATGATTTCAGGCTGTACTGTGTTTTTCCTGAGCATAAATCAACAGTAAGAACTGCTACATAATGGCTCGCTGGTTTAGCTACTCAGATCATATATTGTATATATATATCATACATTTTCCTGGATCGTTGCTGTTGTGAGGATGATTCTGCTATAGCTTGTACTGCAGAGTCTGTGAATTAAAGCATTACTGTATATCTTCCTCCTCTTGTTCAGAGATGCTTTTTGGCTCTTGCTTAGGCTATAATAAAAAAACTAATTGGCACATGGCGATACGGTCACTGATAAGAAATACAAATGTTCTGCGGGAAAAATGCTGCAGTTCATATTCATTTTGTTTTATGGTGGACCTTTTGCCTTGTATCTGCAAATTTCCCTCAAGGAACATTTTAAGATTGCAAAAAAAACTGTACATCTTTCTTTTTTTTATTTCGTATGTCCTCCCGTTCCTCTATAATACTCAAAGGCCCCTCAGACTGATGAGTTTCCCCATCCAGGGCTTGTGTTTCATTTTAGCGTGCTAGCATTGCACCAGCCGACCGTGATTCCTCAGCTTCCCTTCATTCGGTCTAAGTATCAACGGAGTGAAATAATTGCGCGATTCAGCAGCTTTTGGGAAATTGCGTGACCCCTGCGTGACCCTGGCTGAGTTTGGCGTGAGGTGTCGATGCTAAAGAATTTAACATCGTTCCGCGCTCTGTTGAGCTTAGCAGGACACTCAAGGTTAACTTATAAACAAATAAATGAGTAATGGAGCAATATACAGGAAGTCAGACCGCTTATAGCCCCGCCTCCGTTATACTGCAGCGCCAGAAGCAACCTTCCTGGGCTTTTGGCCCGACCCAGCAGCCCCTCCCACAAGTCTATGGGCTGTGGTGATGATGCATTAGTTGGCACCATGTTGCCTTCCTGAAGGTGACATTGTGTTCCGTTGACCGCTGAACCCTCACACCCGGTTTGTCCAGGCAGAAACGTCCGTGCTCCTTTCATGCTCGATGTGCCATACTGGTCCGCTGCAGAGCGAGGGGGTCCCCGAGGGGGTCCCCGTCATGTCACGTGTGGTCACTCCCTCCCCCGCCACTTCATGTGTGACCTAATCTGAAGACCGTGTCGGCAGTATCTCCATCCCTTTAATAAGCACATCCCAAAACGATGACTGACATCTATGGAATTCTGGGATAGCGTTTGGTTATGCTTCTCTCCAATATCCTGTTTCATCGCCAAGGTGCCGCTTAGTGTGAAGCCGCTGGCGTTTAAAAATCGAGGCCCCGATTTCCCAAAATAGCTCTTGATCTGTTAATTTTGTCGGATTACTATACCCGGCCCTGAAAGTCCCACGATTGCTTGTTTTGGTTTGTAGCTCTCCACTGAGATTTTATTTAAATGCCTGTTTAACCTGCAGCCTATAGATGTTGCTGCAGCACCATTACAGCTCAGGCTGTGACCTGTCAAACCTCAGCCAGCAATAAATCACCAGCAGAACAAGAAGCTCAGAGATCATTCTGACCTGGAGTAGATTCCCGACTGCCTTAATTAGCATAAATATTTATTTGCACTGATTGGATTGTAGCAATTCTTCACCTGGACTGCAAATAAATTCACTGTCGCTGGAGTGTGAGTGATACTGGGGAGTTTCTGCCAGTGATGATCTGAGCAGCATATAATGTGAGGCTGTTATGCATGCAGATGTGCCTTGACCACGTTATCATATGTCTTAATGCGTGATGAATACAGCGTGTGATATCCCTGCCTATCTGATATCACTGCCAGTTTGATATCGCTGCTTCTGTGATAGCGCTGCCTGTGCTAAATCCCTGTCTGTGTGATATCCCTGCCTATCTGATATCACTGCCAGTTTGATATCGCTGCTTCTGTGATATCGCTGCCTGTGCTAAATCCCTGTCTGTGTGATATCCCTGCCTATCTGATATCACTGCCAGTTTGATATCGCTGCTTCTGTGATATCGCTGCCTGTGCTAAATCCCTGTCTGTGTGATATCCCTGCCTATCTGATATCACTGCCAGTTTGATATCGCTGCTTCTGTGATATCGCTGCCTGTGCTAAATCCCTGTCTGTGTGATATCCATG